GTCCTCAGACATTTTTCTTTCGTTGTTTCTTTCTTTGCACAGGTAAACAGCACATTTCTTCTTCTACGCTTGCATTATCGGCAGAGCAGACGCTGAATTCCTTAGATAGAAAACTTTGTATCAATTTGACTGTATGATCTGGTTGAACTGTGAAGTGCCTTGAGATGACATGTGTTGTGAATTTGGCGCTATATAAATAAACTGAATTGAAATTGAATTGAATTGAATTGAATGCGCACTTTCATCTGGTTTGGTCTGCCGCGGTTTCCGTAGAGTCGTGAACGCGCTTTAATGTAGTTGTGTTTTCCTTAATGTAGTTGCACTTTTAGATTTGTAGTTGCAGTTTGCACTTCAGGGCCACCGTACAAAACTCTTCCGGTCTCCTTATTTTCATGAACTTTGAAGGATCCAGTCCACATAGACCAGGTCCTTGGAGGATGCAGCCTTTAAAATCGAACACACCCTGAATGCTGTTGGTGCTAGCGGTACCACATGGATCCTAATGAGGGGCTCTTTGCTGGAGGTCTGTTTTGGGTTTTCACAAAGCTGGAGCTGGACATAGTTTCAGTATCAATAATCCCTTTTATCAAGTCTAATGTTTTAATAAAGTCAACATTCCAGAAATGTCATAATAAAGGGATTCTCTTTGGGCATTCATGGAAGTCTTTTTGAAGCTTTCATTTAGATTAGATCAACCGAAATCAAGGAAGTTAAGCTGGTAAAAGTTATGGCATCTTCTTCCAGCCCCATTTCCACCTGTCCAGGTAGTTTGTGTTTTTTCAGTCTTGTTCTGTAGGTCTTTGCCACGAGCAAAGCACCAAGAACCAGTCTACAGGTTCTTGAATGCACACCAATGTGTTCTTTGATGACGGAAAGACATCTTCTGCCTCCATTTATCGGTTTACTATAGTGTGTTGAATTAATATTAATGTGGATTTAAAGACATTTCAATTAGTGGAAAGAATTGCCAGGGGGAATACAGGCTTCCTACAGCATAAGGCGAGTTAAATTCAAGACTTTGAAGACCTCCGCTTTAGCGCATCTGTTACAGAATACAATAACGTGAGAGAATTGTGTAGAAAATAACTGCCCAGTGCAGCAAATGTTCTTAAGTTGCACAAAACAATAAATAAATGCAAAATTCAGATACAGTAAGTCCAGAACTCAGGTTTAAGATATTATGCAAAACTATTTTATTTACAAAACAAATGGCACAGCATATCAGCACAGTAAACACACATGCACACTCCAGACATGACGTGGGAATGTTTTCCCATGTGATCCAAAAAGGGAATCCAGTCAAACGGCGAAAAAGACGAGATTCACCACGATGATTCTCACTGAGGGAGCAAATATTGCTCAAGAGGAAACGACTGTTCGTTACTTTAAGGCCATATTTCAGAGGTCAGGATGAAGAGATCAGCAGCATGTCGTCGTGAATTAACCGTATTAACATGGATTTAACGCAAATGGACACAAGCAGGTCAGCTGCACATTAAAAACTGAACCGTTAAACAGAGCCGGAAAGGTAAAATATAAAGCTTTGATGAGTTCACTATCTAAAACTGGTTAACATTAGGAAATCCTTTTAATTACGCATCCGTTCCCCTTCATAGTGAACGGCCATCACCAGGTTCCTCTGCCGTCATGTAAACATCATCTCCGAAGAAATGCGCTGTTATCACTTTACAAGGAAGCCGGCTCTCCTTTAAATGCAGATTGAAAGCTAAATCATGACCACATTCCTTTAGTTGGGTGTGTTCAGACCCCATTACTTGGTTTAAATCTTTAACATTTTTAGTGAACTGTTTATTAGACTAACTCTTTTTCTTTAAGCAGTTTAGGGCAATACATACAAAGGCAAGGAAAGATGACTAAAAACAGCAGGTAGGTATAAGATGGTTGATGGAATGATAGCAAATGAGTAAACAGAAGAAGCGTCAAACGGCTAGCTTGCTGGCCACGATGGAGGTCTTCCTCTGGGGGAGGTCCTGAGGGGTGGGGATGTGGTCCCCTGTGATCTCCGTCTTCTCCGTCGGAGCCGACGGCAGCTGTTTGTTCTTCATTTTGGCCTTGGCCATGTTGTAGTCCCCGGAGTCGAAATACTTTTGCTGGACAGAGAACGACAAAGGCAGAAGAATGAGACCCTGATGTCAATCCCACCCACATCCATTTCTATCCGTTAAGTGGGATTTATTGCCTTTCGTTTGCCGTTTTTCATCTTTTTTTCCCTTTAATTTAACTCACTAAGTAAAAAGAGACCTTCCTTCAAGGAGAGTTTTCGCTGTTCCTATGAAATAAAAACGCGAGGATCTAAGACATTCCTTTAAAAATAATTTAATATAAAGTACCGTATTTTCACGACTATAAGGCGCATATAAACGTCTTTTTTCCCCTCAAAATGTGCGGTGCGCCCTATGTGTTACTGCGGACGTTGTTGAGACCACCATGAGAACGTTAAAGGGGGAAGTGTGGGCGTGGATTGTGTATAAAAGAACAGGTATGTGCTTTATGCAGAACTCCTCATCTCCTCATTGAGGAGGTGATGAAAGAGTGGCTGAGGGAGGTGAATGGAAGGAGACCAGGTGGTTTTTTCCACGCATCACCATCGCTGTTAATCTGTGACTCGATGCGTGCCCATCTCACAGCTGATGAGAAAAACATGGTGAAACAAATGAACGCTGTGCTCGCTGTTATTCCGGGAGGTCTGACAAAGGAACTTCAACCGCTCGACATCGGTGTGAACCGGCCGTTCAAAGTAAGGCTGCGTTCACACGGAGCGCAGGAGACGCAGCAGAAGCAGCGAATTTACATGCAGTCAATGGTTGACGCACGTCAAGGAGCAGCAAAAGGTCCCGCAGCGCGTTTTGAGCAGCAGACGCAGCGCGTCGGGAGCGTTTAAGCATCTTGAATATTTGCTGCTGGACGCGCTGCGTCAACCAATCAGAGAAGCTGATCTGGGAGCTGGCAGCGAGACAGACACATCGCTGATGACACAGCGCTGTGATCGCTCCTCTGAAACAGTTTATTGACGCATAAATTAACTTAAAACATAGGCAGGATAATAATCTGGATGAACTGACTGCAATGATTAAATTTTCAGGTGGGCTTTCTCACTTAAAAAGATTTAAATTATTTAGTTGAAAAAACACCTGCTGAGGTGAGTCCGGATGCGCTGCGGCCCAGAGGCGGCTGTTGAATTAAGTTTTTTAGGTAGAAAAATAGAGCTGGAGCAAAACTGAGTATGACTGTGCTTTATTCAAGTATTTATTACAGAGTATTAATCAAACCCATCAAAGTCCTCATCCTCTGTTTCTGAATTAAACAGCTGCGCTAAATCAGACATGCCAGTTTCCCCTTCTGCGCTGTCAGTCACTTTCCGTGCAGCGCAGCTCCTCAGAAATAATGCCGGCTTTTGCAAAAGCTTGAACAACAGAGCCAGCAGATACGTTAGTCCAAGCATCTACAATCCATCCGCAAACTGTGGCGTAATCTGCCCGGCGCTGCCTCCCACTTTTCCTGAAACTGTGGTCTCAGTCTGTCATCCATCGCTCCCACGCCGCTCGCAGCCTTACTTTGAACGGCCGCGTCACACCGATGTCGAGCGGTGGAAGCTCCTTTGTCAGACCCCCCGGATAACGGCGAGCACAGCGTTCATTTGATTCACCTTTTTTTTCACATCGGCTGTGAGATGGGCACGCAGCGATGGTGATGCGCGGAAAAAAACACCTAGTCTTCTCAGATACACCTGCCTCAGCCACGCATCCATACGGAGCCACCCAGCCTTATACGTGCGTCAACCATTGACTTTGCATGTAAACTCGCTGCTTCTGCTGCACCTGCTGGGTCCGGTTCACACCGATGTCGAGCGGTTGAACAGTGAGCACAGGGTTAATTTGTTTCCCCATGTTTTTCACATCAGCTGTGAGATGGGCACGCATGGAGTTACATATTAACAGCGATGGTGAGGGGTGGAAAAAAAACACCTGGTCTCCTTACATTCAGCCACTCTTTCATCATCTCCTCAATGAGGTGGTCTCAAAAGTCGCAGTTACAACACACATAGGGCGCACCGCACCATAGGGCGCACCGCACATTTTGAGGGAAAAAAAAGACGTTTAAGTGCGCCTTATAGTCGTGAAAATACGGTAACTGGTACAATCCAAACTGCAGGCAGCAGGATAATAAAAGCGAACATATTCTGCCGGCAGATTTCTGCATTTTAAGTTGATTTACGCGTCAATAAACAGTTTCAGAGGAGCGATCATAACGCTCTGTGCCATCAGCGATGTGTCTGTCTCCCTGCCAGCTCCCAGGTTTGATTAATACATGAATAAAACACAATCATACTCAGTTTTGCTCCCGCTCTATTTTTAAATACGCAGTAGAGGATATGTACCGGTATATAAAACCCGCGCCCTACAGTCCGGTGCGCCTTATGTGTGTGTTAAATACAGTAATGGCACACATAACCGAGACTGCGCCTTTTAGTCCGGTGCGCCTTATGGTCGTGAAAATACGGTATTAACCTTTAACTTAATGTCTGTGGATTCCAGAAGCAATTAATGCCACAATAATAAAACTGGTTTCACGTCACAGTCTTGACTTTGTTTCCTCTACCAACGAGACTTCATTTAAATTCTTAAAATCTAGATTAAGTGGTTTGTTTAAAAGCAAGTTTTAAATTCTGGTAATTTAAATTTGTAGAATTTCCTGGAAGTAAAAAGAAGTTTTCTTAATTTGGTGTATTTAAGACCACAGGTTCCGTCGAATCTGGTCATCGATGGACGGTGGAGAAGGTTCCAAGTAGCCGGTTTGATCCCCACAGGCTGAGCGAGACCCTTAACCCCCACCCTGCTCCCCGGGCGCCACACAATGGCTGCCCACTGCTCCCCAAGGGGAGGGGTTAAATGCAGAGAGTTCATTTCCCCATTTATATTTACAGACTATTCACCAAGTAAACGTTCCCCTTTTCACCCAAATATATCGGTGGAAAAGATTTCCACGAATTTAAAAAGTAATAAAGGAGAAGTCCGCTCATATTCAGAATTCAAACTTCGGAAAGTACTTTATATATAAAAAATGAATGGCGCTAGGCTTACCGCACCGTGACGTCACTGCCGGAAGATGGCAGGAGGGAGGGGCTACTATATTTGGGCAAAAATGGCCGCTCCCAGACTCAGTGATCGCGACGAAAATTATTATTTTTCTACTGATTAACGCCAAATTCCTTTAATGACCGCAAACGTATTAGTTTTAGGTATAAATAATCCTATCCTAATATTCCTTTAACATGCTCCATCAAGTACATTTAAAATACCAACAGAGACTTTATTTAAAAAGCGTGTGGTGATCAGGACGTAAAACATTGTTGATGTTAATCCTGGTCTTTAAGTGCCACTTCTCTGAACGTTTAAACTCTCATCCATCAGTCCTCATGACCCACATCTCCCCGTCCATCAGATATACACATCAAGTCCATTTGTGGTGGATGACTGAGCAAAGTGCGCCAGTCTGTAAAAACCAGATGAGCCACACAGGAAGTCAGACGAGGAATAAAGCGGCGGATCGATACATTGTAAAATAAGAGGCATCGCACCGACGGGTCCTGTAGCATCGAGGGAGAAATCCTGAAGTGATACGTGTGCATAGATTTACCCTCGCTGCCTTTGAGTTCAATCAAAGAATGATTAACAGATTTCTGCAGCTTTTGACGGCTGCTGAGGAGCTCATGCAGTTTGAATCATTGCTGCAATGGAGACGTCTAAAACATGGAGGGCAGTGAAATTTGAGGAGCAGGTTTGATAACCACTAATCTATGACAAAACGGATGAAGAATCGCCAACACTTAAGTAAACTTAATTCTACAGGGTATTACAGGTTTCCTATAGCATAAGGCGAGTTAAATTCAAGACTTTTTAATGCGCTTGAAATAAAAATTTAAGAC